TGTGCACGCAAGTCGAGGAAGGATAAATAGTGCTTTTCGAGGTCTTAGAACACAGAATTAATTTTTAAATTTAAAGATGACATTTTGGGTCATCACACATGAGCTCCTCGCAATCTGCCTGTTTAATAAGAAGCTGCTGCAAGTTATTTTATTGAGTTGCTTGCAACCTGCATGAATTAACTGCTTGTAAATAAATTTTAATAAAGTACTAAACGGATAATCTTTTTCAGGAAGATTATCTATATCGGAGTAATAAATGAACAACTACAATATAATATTTTTATAACAAAATTGTATTTAAAAAGAAGATTTTTGCAATATCGGCCAAATTACAACAAAAGAAGTGGTGGCCCTCACAATAGATAATCGCTGCACACTAAGATAACAGAGAATCCATTTTATCCCATCGACTCGACATTGTTCAGATTGAACTCTGAAAATGCAAAAAGTAAAAAACAAATTCAAATAAGCCAAACGTATAAATAAAAGGAAGGGTAACAGAAAATACAAAAAACCACATTCGTTGCGCAGTTGAAAATTGAAATGAAGGATGACGATGCCCTTCCCATATCAACGCCGACGGCACCTTCATCATCATCGTACACAACTTCCAAGAAGGAAACTTCCTCCTCCTATCCCGCCATTTTCGGCAGAGGTCGTTACAAGTTTTGGGCTTTTGCCGCTATTTTATTGCTAGCTTTTTGGTCTATGCTCACCGGAACTGTTACTCTCCGTTGGTCCGCCGGCAACCTCAACGCCATCTCCGATAATATCGACATTCCTCTCCCCGAAGATCTCGACGTTCTCGTCCGTACATATTTCCCCTTTACCTTTTTCCCTCATTGTTTACAAATTCTCCTATTTTCGTTTTGACGGAAATTATATGTATTTTTGGGCAGGAAATGGAAGAAAGGGAGAAGTTAGTGAAGCATATGTGGGATGTATATACAAACAGCCGTGGGATCAAAATGCCAAAGTTTTGGCAGGAAGCATTTGAGGCGGCATATGAGGAGTTAACAAGTGACGTTCCTGGAGTTTCCGAAGATGCCATTTCTGAGATCGCTAAGATGTCTGTACGCTACATTCCTATTGAATCGCCACCTCTCCATTCATCGGTTAGCTCTCTCTATCTGTCCCTTTCTCTTTGATCCAATTCTTCCCCGTGGTCAGCCTTGGCTGTGAACTCGTGATTTAACTTTTGACATTTTAGGTTGGCGATTTGGGGGTGTTTTATTAGATAACTAGATAAGTTAAGAATTTTGGTTGAGAAATTCTTTTATCTGTGGTGTCGGGCCAGCTTACGCTCACCTGCTACCTCCCACCAGCCTCCCACCCAACACAGGTACCGGGTAACTCGTACCAAGGTTTAGGCGATAAGAATAAATCACCTAGTATTTTTTTTTGCCTCCACTGGGTTGTTGACCTGGAGACCTCGTGCCTCATGGTTCTACCCCGCTTCATTGACCTCTAGGCCACATCCTTGGATGCAAAAAAAGAGAGAATCTTACTTTAGAAACTAATTTGGTTCCTCTTTTCAATTGGATTTTTCTTTCCGGAACTATAATGTGAGGACACGGAGGAGTTTCAGCCAAAAGTACACACAAGATACAAGCAGCTTTTCAGGTCACTTCAGTTAAATTTTTGTGCTGATGCAATAGAGAGTTTACAGTTATAATGGGTTGCAATGTAAACACGAGGTTCCACTATCAAATTACGGAAGTAATTTAATTACGACCAAGTTAGAAACTGGTTTGTTCCATTTGTGCACTGTTGCGCCTTCTCACTTTTAAGTTTTTCCTAGTGTAGAACTTGATCTTTGTGTTAATTTAATTACATCTTTAGGAAATGATGGACTTTGAGTATTTTCAGATAGAAATATGGGTTTTCCTTTTGGAAAGAGTTCTTAGCGGGATGTTTTGTGTGCTTCAATTTTTCTTTTCTGTAACGCAACAGTATGATGTGCGAAGGAGCAGTTCAGATTTCTTCAAGGTCTTACTTTTCCCTCTAGTAAACTCAATGTTCCAGCTTACAAGCTAGTTCCAAAATGGAGCAATGCAATGCTTTCTGATAGCTCTGCTAGACAGAAGTGATAAAAGTTTGTATCATCATTATTTGTGCTTTTCAGTTGTGTATCTCAAGGCTCTGGAAGTAGTGCATGTAGTTTAATTCAAAGAGATGTCTATTAACTTTTTTGCTGTAAAATTTTAACTGCGTTTGGATAGCTATGGTCATAATAATACCATTTGAACATACTTGGTGGGTAAATAAACATGAATATCTGTCACAAATTTGATAAATACGATACTGCTGAAACTCCTTGCTTTTTGAGGCATCACTTGCGACCTCCATTCTCACCAAAACTACTCAAAGAGATTGTCCTCCATCTTCACCAAATTTTCATCATGCACTTTATCAGAAAGCAAATAAGCAGGCAATGTTGATAGCAATAAACCCCATTAACTTGAATAGTCAATGCCACGTTGCAACTATCTAAATATTGATCAGTACATGCACCCAATATGGAGTTATCAACCAGGTCAACTGCTTCCAGCTCCTATTGCCAGCTCTACTCAAGCATCAACTCTTTGGATTGCTAGTTCCACAAATTCACATTCCTGCTGGGGGATACAGGAGTTAGGCAGGAAATGAAGGCCCTAGACATGCGGTGATCATGAAGAAAGACAAGATGCTAACTTGTCCTCTTCTGCCTCTTCTCTCCATTTCTCTTTCCCTATCTCTTTGTTGCCTTTTGTTTTCCTTAAAATTTATGTGATGTCTAGGAGACGATGGAGGCTTTCTTGTTTTCTAAAAGATCCTTTTACAAACTTCTTACCTTTCCCAGTTAATTCCCTCCTGTTCCTCATGATACACGTAACCAAAGGGGCCTGGAGCATGTGACAGTGGTGTTGGTTGCTAGTGCTGTCTACTGGCGTGTAAGATGGAGACATGGAGTTTCCAGGGTCATTGATACTGAGAGGAAGTTTTCGAGCTGATTGGACTGGATAATAGCACAGTTCTCTGTTCGACTTTGGTTCGCCCATTCTTGTGTTATTTCTTCTTTTTCTCCCGTCAAGCCTGTGAATTTTCTCATTGCTCCTTATAAAAGTTGAAAGTTCTCCTTATCAAAAATAAATAAATAAATAGTTGAATAAAGTTCTCTTTGCCTCCTATAGGGCTGCGTGCATGAAATGTACAGCTACTTCTTATTTAACTACACAGTGATACGATCGGTATATCTTTCTGCAACTTATTTTGTCAAATCAGCTGGTATGAAGCATAAATGCCTGAAAGTAATGCACCCAAAGCTTGACAGGTGATGGATAGTAAGATGTTGTGTTTTTCCCTCTCAGAAGGCCAATAACATTGGCTTGAGAAATAATGTTCTTCATTTCTTTATGGCTGGATCTCTATTTTTATCTGTCTCAAAAATGAACATGCACACATTTGCACAACGCATGGGCAGATGCAACAACCTTAGGTAGCACTGGATTCGTTGTAATTGAATCAAAACAGTAAGGTCTTCCTCATTAATATAGAATTCCATTAAAAAGAAGTTTGTGGGAGAGCAACTTCTTGGAAGCTGAAGGTGGCAGATGAATCTGTTCACTGAATTCTGCCACTATTTCGGGTTGTCTTTTGTTTAAATTTTAGAGAGAGAAACCAAGAAACAAAAGTACAGATATATATAAGGTGGTCTTTCTAAGTTGTCTTTCTTCTCTCTCCGATCCTGAACTCCTGCTTCTCCCAGATTCTTGTTATGTTGTGATTGCTCCTTTAACATGTGCAGCGATTGTAATTGACTTATGTTTGATCTCATTTTAAACTATTTCAGGGAATACGAGAATTAAGTCTAAGGCAAACGAAGAGCGAACAAACAACTGCAACAGGGAGAAAGTTATGACTTGGAGAAATCAAGAACCCCCCATTTGCGTGGTTGCCGCTTTTTCACACACGATAAATTGTGATTTATGCCATCTGCTGTCTGGGATTGACGAAGGGAGCATTTGGGAAAAGATTACACTGACATGCATTGCATTTTTGCTGTAAGGACAAAACGATGTATCTATTTAGGTTTTGATACTTGTAATTTTTTTCTCCTTTATTTTCCTGTCTTCCTAATGAAAGCACATATTGGTGAAAAACTCAAACAGTATCATGATTGGATTAATTCATGCGAAAAGAAAAATCTGGTGTTGTTGCTACAGTTTTGCACTGGAAGACATTTTCCATAGATTGATTTTTCGCTTGTTTTTACTGATGATGTGAAATCGCAAGGGAACAGGAATTTCATTTTGGTTTGTTGTGGTTAAACATATAATTTTTGCCTTAGGGTATTTATGGGTAGACACCAATCAGGCCATGACCACCGGTCTGTGCATTGGCTAGCAGTATTAGTAGTTCAACTCCTCTTATAAAGGATGGCGCTGTGTTATTTACTATACTGTTTTAGAAAGTAGTAGTGTTTGAAATAGGCAGGGTGTAATTAATGTATATCTGCTCGTTCAACTGTAGAAATCGTTGATGTCCTTGGGTATGATTTAACAAACTCTTTTTACCTATCAAAAATTGAGAATAACAATAAATCAAGTGTAAAGTCTGACTTATCACAAATTGATATATTTGAAGAGCTTTTAAAGATGATGAGCAAGTATCATTATAATCGGAGTCCAAAATTTCATTCATATCAAATTAATCCCTGTAATTAATCTATAGTTTATCCACAAAGAAAAACCTTTTGTCCATTTTCTCTTCCTTTTCTTTTTTCTCCTCCTACTTTCCCTTCATCTTCCTTTTCCTAGTTTCCAGTGTAGGATAAACGTTAACCTTTAATACTCTTTTTGAGATGGATGGGGACGACTATATATGTTGTCGCTGACAGCTGCAGATTGAAGCATTTGCATTTGAAACTGCATCTTATTATACAAGATGATCCTACTGTGTTTTGATTAGATGTTAGTTCTGACCAAAACTCATTGACATATTTTGGGGTTAGGATTGAAGAAAGGGTTATATCTTTATACGGAATAATATCATGAGCCTGAAGGTTTTTTTTTTTTTTTTTTTGAATAGTAACTGTGACCTTCAACTGCCTGGGTGGGATATTGACTATAGATTCATAGACAGAAGCGAATCAAAATGAATGATCTTATGATATATACACTTAAAATACCTTTTGTATATGTAAACATAGTTCGAGTAGAAAATAATGTACTCAATTAAACCCACACAACTCGTCCTATATTTGCCTGCCTCTTATCGTAGATGAGGTAGTGTTCAACAAGTGGTAGCAGATACTTTCAGTTTTAATTTTCTGTATGTAAGAAACTTAAGGTGACTACATGTAGAGGAAAAGAGTTGTCATATGGTTGAGGAATTTGATAGAGTTAGTAAATTGGCAAGCTTGATATCACTGACATTCTACACAAGTAATCCTCTAATTATAAATAAAAAAACTTGACAAATTTCTCTATCTATACTGCTCAATTTAGTAGTGCTAGACTTTCTTGACAGGAGAAAAAGCTTTCTGTTTGTTTATATACTGCAAAATTGTCTTAATTGATTCAAGAATATAACTTTCAACTCTCTTCTCTAAACCCCAGACCGTTCTTTGCTGAAATCAGAAGGTGGCATGAAGAAATCAGCTGTCAAACGTCCAACATTAAAATCTACTTCTTCAATTTTCCATCTCTCCTCCAGCTGCCTCTTGTGGTTTGCAGAGTGCTCTCCATATCTGAAAACTGTGACAAAAGTTTTACCACTGTGTGCAACATTAACTCCGTCAACATATTTATAATCTTCCATAACAGATTCTGTGCTCGTCTCCCAGAATACACCTTCGTCGTCTCTGCTGGTCTTAACTGTTAGCAACCTGGAATCCTCAAACTTGACCATTAGGCCTGATCTTTGGCTAAAATATCCCCATATTGTATGATGAAGTATTTCATAATTTGGACCACTTTGTGCCTCTAAAGCTGATTGGTTTGTATCAAGTTTGAGAATGAAACAATCCTCATCATTTATTATCTTCTCTCCTATGCATACTGCATTCGCGAACAAGTTTGCTATAGACCGAGGATCTAGTCCCTACAACAATGGCAAATCATTTAGCCCTTAGCTCTATTACTAGGTTGCCATATAATTAATCAACAGATTTAAGTTAAGTTAAGTTATATACACTGACAGACCTGCAGAAAACGGCGGAGAGGTCTGGGCGGACCCTTAGAGATAGGCCTTTGTTGATTAGATGATTGTCTCCATGAGATTTTGCCATTACTACCAGAAATTACTTTGCATCCTGAGATAAGTAATTCTAAACACCAAAGGTCAGGGTTTTTTTGCCAAAGCACAAAGCCTCCGTTTTCGTCACTCTTTCTCACCTTCACACTTTGATCACCTTGATGGAAATCAGATGCAGTAATTTTAATATGCCCAATTACACACATGCTGTTCACTGCATTTAGTGCTGGTTGCCCCCCTGTTGCTGCTATGTATTGTTGCAATATATATTTAGCTGTTGAAGCTTCCTGCATATATGTCCATTCCAAATAAGATTTCAAAGAAAAAACCAAGAATAATTCAGATTACTAATAATTTTGGTTATAATGGTAAAATGTGGTCTAATTTTTTGTGCGTTCAGGTATAACTCAGAGTACTTATTGATCTGGTAGAATGGTAAATGTGGTCCTTTTTTGTCACTCTAGATTTGGAGCTAGCTGTCATGCATGTTTTCTAGGTCCAAATTTATCTTAAAACTGACAATCTCTATTTCAGGCTGAACGAAAGATCTATTATTTGCACTTTATATGTTCAACCGTTATAATTTTTAGCACTGAACATGTTGTACTTCTGAAATGATGAGTTCAAAATTTAATATTTGCTGAAATCTTAATGGTCTTTACGTATATATCTATGTTTCTTGTCAGAAAATATCGGCAATTGAACACATTGAACATAGGATCTAGGGGCGAAGCTAGTGTGCTGGTTACGGGTTAGGCCGAACCCAATTACTTTGGTCCAAACTATGTATATACCTAAGAAATTCATTAAAAATGATAAATTATTATTTTAGAACTCAGTAACTTAAAAGACTAGAATCCTGAAATCATTAGGCCTGAATTACGATCCGTTTGCCTTGTTAAATTGAGAATGCATATGTTATCTACTTACAACTCAATGAATCAAAATGCGCAGGTATAATTAAGTGAAAACATTAAAGCTTGAAGAATTCCTGTCTTACAATGGAAGAATGCTTGACGGGACGATTAACGGATTGGCCCAATTGAATTTGGAAAGGGATAAGAGGAGATCCAACCATGTAAAGGAGGAAACTAAGTTCATTATAACGAGCAGCAACAATAGGGGAAGACCATTTATCAGATGTTTGAGCTTTCATCCAGGTTGCCATATTATGCCATCTAAGTGCAGCATTACTACCCATGCTTTTAAACATTTCATCTGGAATTGGCACCTCAAGTACTGTTTCCAGCCCATCTTCTCTGTCAACATTGGGACAAAGTGTCCTCATGTAATTTTTATTTTAAAATTTTATCTCACAAGTATATTACCTTATGGCAAAATGAAATTAAAACTTAATATGTGTGTGTGTTTCGAATGTCACGACTCAGAGAAAGTGAATTTCGAATACTGAATGCATAAAAGAAAAAGAGAGAGAATGTGTTTTGTATGTAAGAGAAACACAAGGTTAGAGAAAGGCTCAGAGATAATTAAGGGTTGTTATAATGAAAAAACAACGTTCAAATTCTCTGTTTTTCTTGTTTGAAAAAAAGTATTTTGAGGTGGGCAATTTTTTGCGGAGAGATTTCGAAAAATGTAAGGGCATTTAGAATTCACTGTGCCCAAAGGTTCTCCCTTTCTTTTGGCAGTAGTGCGGGCACAATTTTATCGAAGATTTCTTAGTTTTATTTGCACCTTCATTGCTTATAATTAACTAATTTCATATTTGTGCTAGCATGTTAACCAGGGTTGAACGAGATACTATTGACATTAAGGACAGATTCAAAATTTCATAAAAATTGTATATTCTTATAATAAAATTGAACTTACCAAGAATATGTAATTCTAATAATTTTTAATGCATATTACTAATTTATATAAATGGTCAAGCTCTACGAACACAACATTGAACCATTGTACGTATAGTAGTCTCAATTACAAAAAGTGTTCCCCGCGTTACAATACGCTTATGTACAAAAAACTGATGTAAAATTAAGGGATCTTTACACAAATAGTCGGTCATATTCACTGTTTACTTTTTCTAGTCATATACATAAATTATACATTCATGATACACAAATATACACATATAATAAATTATGAATATATTATACCTCCATCGAATATTTTTAGTTTAAACGGTTAGATGAACAGCCATTTAGGTTAATTCTTATATCATTGTATGTTTATTTAGTGGCTTCTGATTTCTTGCCCTTTGTGGGCCTATTGGATTGGCCATTAAACACTTGCATCTAATAGCTCGTTTGGCCAACCTGCAAAAATCAACTTATTTTGACAAGTACCTTTTTTCAAAAGCGTTTTTCTCAAAAGTACTTTGATGAGAATCAGTTTATGTTTGACTAATTAATTTGAAAATCACTTATGAGCAAAAATTAGTGTTTGGTCAAACTTTTAAAAACTGTTTCTAAGTGTATTTTTCTCAAAAGTACTTTTTGGAGAGAAACTACTTTTTTCTGCTTCTCCAAAACTGCTTGCTTCTGCTCAAAAATACTTTTTTTCTTCTAAAAGTTTGGCCAAATACTTCAACTTTGAAAAAAATATTTTTTTTTTTGAAAAAAAGTGCTTTTGAATTTGGAGAAGCTTAGCCAAACAAGCTATAATTCTCTTTAGCAGCAAACCACGTGTAGCCTATTTCATACTATGCCCCCGTTTGGCTATAGATTTTGCCAAGCTTTTTTCAAATTGTTTTTGGCAAAGCTTGTTTGTTTATAAATTTTATCCATATTTTGGCAGATATTGAAAACAAAATTTTCAAAACCCAAAACTAGCTCTACACATATTTTTGGCCCAAAATATTACCTTTGAATTTTTTAACAATTTCAAAAATTATCCAAAACTTTATATTTTATAAAAAAACGCATCATCTATTACGATCCAACTAATCCACCGGCTAGTTATTATAATTTTTTTTTGGACTGATGGATCTTGTAATATTATTGCAATTTGACGAATTGTTGTAGTTAGTGATTCTGTTATTAGCAGTTGATATTAAAATATCAGGTTATGGTTTTAGGATACTATATTATGTAGTTCATTATAAAAATAATGATTTTGTGCCAAACTTATCTATGCTCATGACTATGGTGTGTGATAATAATAATAATGAATGACACCGATGAAGGTTATGCATATACATGATTAGCAAGTTTGTTTGTTTGGTATTGTTGTGTATTTTTGATAGTTTTTAGAACTTATGGCATAAGTCACGTTTCATGTTTTTTCAAAAAAAAAGAAAGTAAAATATGTTTTGAAAAATGATGTCCAAACCGATTTCATCTCCAAACCAAAGTTCACTCGGATTCTTTAAAACAAATTTGAAAATATATGATCAAACGCTAGCTATATCTTTTCTAATAACGCAAAGCTAAACAATTGGGGTCTCTCCTGGAATAGCAAATAATTCTCTCTTCTGTGATATTCTCTTCCGGTGAGTTTCTCAACCTTCTTTTTCTTTTTTACTCTTCAGTGTGTTTCTATTGATGTGGTAAAAATTCTATTTTCTTATTCTTCACTATTTCAACGTCAGACCTCTCTGCTTTTTGTATGATGGTGGTGTGATTTCTATTTACTTTTGGCCCTATATATTGTGATTTTTGTTTATGAAGCTAATTAAAAGTTGGATCTTTACTTTGCAGATTTTCACATTTTCTTTATTTATTTCACACTTTTGTAATAACAATTTGTTGGGTATTAACTACTTTCGTATAGTTATAGTGAAACATAGGAGTGCAAACAAAGGATCATCGCCACACATTACTTTGATTATCTTTAGAAACATCATACAAGTCACATTGTAATTTGACATATACCCCACATCCGAGGAGGCAGTAAAATCATCATCTCTTATTTTAACAAACTAGAAAGTAAACACAACTTCGTACTGACCACATCACACAATAGTTAGTTTGCCTTTATTTAGATAACAATACCCCCTTTTATCAGGTAGAAGCAAACTCCACTTTTTTTCCACAAAGATAATAACTTAACAAGCAACTTGTAGAGATGGGTAATCAGTGTAACCCACAACTGGATCTGTCATATAGAAAGTACTCCTATCATGCTTGTTTAGTGGTGCATTAACCTCAAAACGGTTAGGTAAATCAGGGTTGGCCAAGAACAAACGTCCAAATGAGATCAAATCTGCATAGTTTTCAGCAATAGCTTCATCTCCCTCGGTTTTGTCGTAGCCACCAGAAGAGATAAGAGTCCCCTCAAAAGCCATTCTTATGGATTCGAGGCAACGTGGCGCTTCCCTTGGCTCAACCGCGTGAAGATATAGAATCCCGAGCTTAGTGAGTTCCTTAGCCAAATAGGTCGCCAGAGGTTCAAGGTTCGAGTCTTTTTCCCCGTGCAGTTCTGAGAAGAGAGAGAGTTTTATGCCAACTTTATCAGCTCCAATTTCCTTCACAACAGCTTCAATAATTTCAAGAGCAAGACGGCAACGGTTCTCTATACTTCCACCATATTCATCAGTCCTGTCGTTGGCTTGGTCATTCAAGAATTGGTCGATAATGAAGCCGTTTGAAGAGTTGATCTCGACTCCATCAAATCCTAAATTTAATAAGCAATACCAACAAGTGACTATTCATCAATTTTTGTCGAACGTATAAGTTTTCACCACCATTAAATGCATATTTCCCTCATAAACAACAAGACTGAAAAAGTAATTAATGTATAACTCACCAGCTTTAATAGCATTGCGGGCTGCAATCCTAAAATCTTCGATAATGTGAGGGACTTCATTAGCTCTCAGTTGCTGAGGTGTCGGCATGATATACTCTTTGTCGTCAGGTACTATGATATAATATATAAAACACATTACACATGTATTATTACTATATATCAGTGTGAAGCTAATTAAGAAAAAAATCATAGTAGTATATAAATTTACCAACCTGCACGCCAAAATAATAGAAAATTGTCGAGGCCTGAGTGGGGAATGCGGCCAGGATGCCAGATTTGACAAAAGAAGATACCACCTTTTTGATGAACTGAGTCAACAATGGGTTTCCAAGCCTCTTTTTGTTCTTCTGTCCAAATTCCAGGCATATTTGGACCCCTTCAAATAGTTCATGTAAATACCACTAAATCAGACTAATACATTGTAGTCTGACCCGATGGAACAATTGACAAGCTTTAATTCCAGTTCTTTAACAATTAAGAGGGGCTAAAGTACATTTTATTGAGTGCTCTCAAGGCGCGTCGGATTAATATGATGGATTTGACCTTTAATGTTTTTAGCATTGAACTCATTGTATCTTTAAAATTATGGGTATAAATATAATATATTTATTGAAATTTTAGTGGATTTTCAAATATACATTATGCCCAAGATCGAAAATATTGAATTTTGGGTGAACCCATCACCGAAGGACTAAAATGCTCCATTCATTCGATATATAGAAGGATCAACCCAAATAACCACCCACCTAATTGCGTAACCCAAAAATAGCAGTATAATATATGTATAATATGTGTACAATAAATATATAATCTATGTATAACGGCTAGAAAAAATAAATAATAAATATATCCGGCTACGATTAAAAGTTTTGTATTACTGCAAGTGGACTTTTTTAATTACCAAAAAAAAAAAGTTGATATTTTGAAGAGTTCAAATTTTTCTTACTGCTCAGTGTTTCTGTAGCCCTAAGTTGCTGCCTATATAAAAACAAACACTAACAACATCTGTAATAAAAAAAAAAACGTTAAAGATTTAGACATGAGCGCATAAAGGGAAAAAGACACAGGAAATTAAAGTGTTTACCCTTGTGAGATATCAGAGGCACTGGCTGATTCAGAAATGAGAAATCCTCCATTTGTTGCTCTTTGAGCATAATATTCAATAGCATGTGGCTGTGGAGTATTATTGTATGATCTGTTCCTTGTCATTGGTGGCATCACTACTCTGCAACTCATAACAATATACAGCTTAATATACATGCAAAATGAAAAGGAAAAAGATAAAAATTAAGACAGAGTACCTATGAGAGAGCTCGAATCTCCCCATTTTGTAGGGGGTAAGAAGAGGAACTGGGGTGGAGTTAGCTGACATCTCTCTAAACTCTCAACTCTCTCAAAATTGATCTTCTTTTTTCGTTTGCTGCAGAAAATTAGAATATCAGACTGTCCATATTTATAAACAAGTCATGCCAATTTCTAAATGTGTATATGCTAACTTCAAGGGGCAACTACCAATGTAATTATATTTTTAAGTATAGTGGCGTACACCAACAGATATAAAATTCTACAACTTGGACGAAAAATAATTTGTATGACAAGGAGTAATCCGTCTTATGCGGAAGACTACATGATAAAGCATGTTAATATATATAAGAAGACTCAGATTATTAAAAAACTTGACTTTAAGTGCCTTTTATCATTTTATTACGAGATTTTAACTTATATGTATTATTAGTGTTATGTCACTCAAAGGTTATTTAGAGCTACTATAGAATTTTAACTTATCCAAAAACTGTTTTCTTTTGGTTATTTTGCTTTCAAAATGGAAAGTGGATAATTATAACTTCCCTGTTTTGGTTAGTAAAACATGGCTTTGGTTTTCCAAAACAAAAAGCAAAAAAGCATGTGATCCAAGTCCAAACTCGTAGAATAATTATCACGCAGATCATGCAAGTGAATAATTAATACTAGTTGAAAATTCAACTGGGAGAAGTGCTTATCTGGAGCTGTACGTGATCTGTATTTCATTTTCCAACACAGCTAAATATTTGGGCTTTTAACAATCAAAGATACAACGAGAAAACTAATTACAATAACTTGCCTATTGTTTTTGTTGGCTTTGGTTCACTTCTCCTAACGAAATACAAAAGCAAGTTATCTAAGTTAAAACTCCTAGAATATTAATTATCATGCAGATCATGCTACATGAATAATTAATACTAGTTGAAAGTTCAATGGGAAATGCTTATCTGGAGCTGTATATTTATATATATAGTCTGTATTGTATTGTTTTATATATTAGTCTGTATCATTCGACAACAACAAAAACAACAAACCTAATATATTCCACAAGTAGGGTTTAAGAAGGGTAGTGTGTACGTATACCTTACCCCAACCTAGTGAAGGTAGAGAGGCTGTTTGCAATAGTCCCTCAGCTCAGAAAGGGTGAGAAGAAGAAGAAGAAGAGGAGGAGGAGGAAGAAGAAGAAGAAGAAGACGAATAAGGAGACAAGAGCGAACGGGAGGAGAGGGGGTGGGGGAAAGAATAAGTAGTATTAAATAATAACAACAAGGAATACCGTAACAGAAACGAACTAGAACACATGACACAAAAAGATGAAAAGGAGAAACTATCAACCACGTGGGGGGAGGAATAAGTAGTACTAAAAAATAACAACAGGGAATACGGTAGCGAACTTGTAATGATCTGACCGGTCGTTTTGAGCTCTAGCGCGTCGTTCGACAGTTTTAGGCTTTGAGTAGCTTCACTTCAGGTATTATGACTTGTATATGTTATCGGAATTGAGCGTATATTCGGGTTGAGTATCAGATCACCCGGGAGCATTTCGTCGCTTATTATATAAAGTTAACATTTTGAAAGTTTAAGAATTTCCTGAGTTTGGTTTGGAGTGGGCTTTGGTGTTATCGATATCCGTTTGGGATTTCGAGCCTTGGAATAGGTTTGTATCGTGATTTGTGTCATGTGCGCAAAGTTTGGTGTCATTCCGGAATGTTTTGGTATGAATAATTCGTCAAAGTTTAAAGGTTTGGAAGTTTAAAGAAGGGTTTTGATCGTCGATCCGTAGTTTTAATGTTGTTTGGCGTGATTTGAGGCCTCGACTAAGTTCGTAATATGTTTTGGGACGCGTTGGTATAATTGGTCAAGGTCCCGAGGGCCTCGGGTGAATTCCGGATGGTTAACGGATCGATTTTTGGACTTAGGAAAAAGCTTCTGCGGAAGCTTCATCGCAGAAGCGGCTAGAAGGGAGCTGGGTAGAGGCCGCAGGTGCGAAGGAATTCATGCACCTGCGTGACTGCAGAAGCGGCTGGGAGTGAACTGGCTGAGGCAGGGGTTGCAGAAGCGGGCAGGTGGACCGCAGAAGCGAAGTCGCACCTATGGTTCGAACTTTTTGTACGCAGAAGCGAGGAGGAGCATCGCATCTACAGAGCCACAAAAGCGGCTAATGGACCACAAATGTGAAAGGTCGCTGGGCAATGTGTTCTTTTAAGAACGGAATTTGACCCATTTTCTTTCATTCTCTCTTAGTTTGAGCGATTTTTGGAGAGCTTCAATTGGAGGTTTTCATCATCTATGGCAAGGTAAATTATTTCCACCTATTGTGAGTTAAATACATGAATTTCATAAGAATTTAAACATGTAAATTAGTAGAAACTTGAGATTTTGGTAGAAAACCTAGAATTTGGTATTTTTGGATTTTGACCACGAAATTGGATATGCAATTTGGAATAAGTTATATATTTTAGTTCGTTGTATTATGAGTAAAGTTTATCTTAAAAAATATTCGGAATCTGGGCACGCGGGCTCGAGGGTTGTCTTTGTTGGTTTTTTTGAGCGGAGTTGAGAATCACTATAAATTGCTAGATTATACGTATTGGGTATATTTTGATTGGTTTGTACGTTGTTTGACTAGTTTTTAAGAGACGAGCATCAAGTTAAGGTGTTTGAGTGGTGTTGGAGCCGGTTATGGAACTTCGAAGCGAGGCAAGTCTCCTGTCTAACCTTGTGAGGGGGAAACTACCTCTAGGTGATATTTATTGTTATGTGCAACTAGTTGTCGGTACTACTTACGCACGAGATGGCCAGAATCCGACGTAACTAAAACAAATTTATGTTCGGGTACATGTAGGACTTTATCATGTAATAATTGAATTATTTGAACTCGTTCTGCTGGCTTAATTAATTAAAGTTATAACTGAAGTTGATTTAGAAATAAATATTTGTATAATAGGTCGAGCCTTAACACTTTGAGTTGTGAGCGAGTTATTTGAGAAGCGTAAAGATTATATTCGTTATGTGCTCATGTACTGTATTGTAAATACGTGTCTCGTAATTCGGTAACTTCTTTCCTTTCTTGTGGAGAAGGCCGAACGCCTAGACAATATATAGATATACCTATGGTCCGTGCCGCATGACCCTCAACAGTGTACATATTATTCTGGATCGGGCCGAATGACCTCGACGGAAAACGTACATTATAACCCTATTAGTACGAATATTTACGAGATAAACCTTCCACTAATGCCCGGCGTTTTATATGGTATTCCTTATTATTTGAGATTGACACTTGACACTCCCTGAGCTGTTAAGGTAGAATACAAGATCTAGAAATTCATGCTTTAAAAGATGTAATTGGAAAATTATGTAATTTGCAGATTTACACCATCATTGCCGTATGCTCCATACATGCTTTTGTTTTATTATATTGATTTATTGGACCTTTAGTAAGTGTCTATGTTGACCTCTCGTCACTACTTCTCCGGGGTTAGGCTAGATACTTACTGGGTACATGTTGATTTACGTACTCATGCTGCATTTCTGCACTAAATGTGTAGGATCTGTCAGGTTCATTTGATGATCACCTTGGTGCGTAGGCACACCTGTTGAGGAGACTTCATGTGAGCTGCATTCTAGGCTACACATCGCAGTCCACCGAGTCTCCATTGTACTAATTATTTGATTCTGTCTTATTACAATCGGGACAAATGTTGTATTATTAATGTACTCCTTAGAAAATATTCATGCACTTGTGACACCAGGTTTTGGGGATTCCTACTGGTTGTTCATCATTGTGGTTCACGTAGTTATTATCATTTTACCATGCAAATTCCATTTTATACTATTTAAGTAATGGAGATTATGATTTCGAAAGTAACAAAATGAGTAAATAAATTGATAAATCAACAGTGGCTTGTCTGACGGCGGTTTTAAGCGCCATCACGACATATAGTGGATTTTGGGTCGTGACAGCTTGCTATCAGAGTATTAGGTTCACTTGGGTCACACGAGTCATGAGAAAGTCTAGTAGAGTCTTGCAGATCGGTGCAGAGACATCTGTACTTATCTTCGAGAGGCTACAGGGCTATTAGGAGCACTTCCCTTCTTGATTCCCTCATCGTGCTGTTTGATTCCATTGAGGCTTGTGCCTTTATTTTCTTCCTATTCAATCTTACACAACATGGGGCACTTTTTATCAATTGGGCATCGAGTAGTTGTATTGGTACTGCAGACGTGGTGTATGATATTTTTCCCTGCATGTTCGGGCATGCTATTATTGTCGGCGTGCGGAAGGATGTTCTATCATTTCAGTTCAGTATCTGTACTTTCTATGGTTTTGAGGCTATGCGCGGGTGCTATGATGTTTATGCGTTGTTATCGCACAGTGTTGGTGTAATGGTAGGGTGCTGCTGGTCTATGTGCCGAGACAGTGAATGACTTGAAGGAAGGATTTTTCAGTGCATGATTTAGAGTTTCAACATTTAATTCCAACAAAATAAGGGCAAACGGACTATGGATGTTCAGACTTTGGTTGATGGAGTAACGAGACTTGATATTTTCGAGCGTGGTAGAATTCTAATTGGTGATGTGGAATCGCCATCCTTGTTGGAACGCATTAAGGTCCGCTGGTGTTATAGTCTTCTTTGATTTTGTCTTCGGGGCAATGTGTTGTGAAATAGTGCCTAAGACGCGGTTGTCAGAGTTAGCGGCATGTAAGTTCCGAATTGAATTGGTGATTCTAGTGTTGATGGCACGAGAAGGATGATCTTCCACGAGGTTTAGAGTTGGTAGCAATTCATTAGTTCATGTGCTACAGATATGGATTTGTTGCGAGGCAGCAGTTAGGCAGCAAAGTATGAGGGAGGACATAGCGGTAAGTGTCTCGCGGTAGTTGAATTACTAACAGGTCAAGTATGCACAACAGAGGTCGAGGAATTGCTTAAAGGAGATGGTTTAAGCGAAGTAAGAGTGGTAGATTAGCATATGGGTTATGTGGCAGGATACCCGCGTGCCTTGAGAAAGTATAGAACGGTTTGTGAATCGTGATGGAAGGTGATTTGGTCTACGGATTTTATTTGGAATAATGGTTACTGTACGAAGAAAGATTAAATATGCTAGAAATGAGTTTGCTTTGAAAAAAGGAGGATG